CCCCCCGGCTAAAAGCTCAAAACAATCCGAAAGGATCCCTATGATTCCAAGGGTTACACACACACACACACTTATAGATATGCATACTGACTTGACAGCGGTGCCACACGCCAACCTAGGGTTAAAAAGGCCTGAGTAAAACGACGCGCAAAGGTTGGAGGCCATCGCTCTTGGGTTGGAGGCCATCGAAGGCAGGTTGAGGGGCCATTAGTAGGTTGGTGACAAGAAGCACAAGAAACACAAAACACGCAAGACCGCCAAAGTTGGAGGTCGCCGCTAGTGGGTTGGAGGCCATGGTGCCCAGTTGGAGGCCAACCCTACCAGGTTACAAGAAACACAAGACATACAAGACAGCCAAAGTTGGAGGTCGTCGCTAGTGGGTTGGAGGCCATGGCACCAAGTTGGAGGCCAGTGCTACCAGGTTACAAGAAACACAAAAAAACACAAGACAGCCAAAGTTGGGGGCCAATGCTAGTGGGTAGAGGCCAACGAATTCAGGTTGAAGGACCACATCACAAGTTTGGAGGCCTACTTGCAAACCTATAGAGTAGACTAGAGGAAAACAGAAGGAAAGGCACCGACACACAATGTCGAGTACCATTTCCTCCTGTGTTCCTAAATAGTGGAACAGGTACACAGTGGGGCGTCCCCCACTTGGTCGCTACGACCACGTACGGCCTGCCCGAGGGCTGCCACCTTTGGTCGCTGCGACCACGTTCAGGCATAAGCCAACTTGGAGTGCAATAATTCGACAAATCTTGGCAAATGACTTTGACCTGAGCCTACTTTGTCCGCTGCGGACACCTACGTTCCCGGGCGTGGGGACGGGTCCACGGGAGGCACTCTGCGGGCTCATCCCGGGCTCTCACTAGGAGAGACACGCTTATAGATATGCATACTGACTTGACAGCGGTGCCACACGCCAACCTAGGGTTAAAAAGGCCTGAGTAAAACGGCGCAAAAGTTGGAGGCCATCGAAAGCAGGTTGAGGGGCCATCGCTAGTAGGTTGGTGGTTGGAGGCCAGTGCTACCAGGTTACAAGAAACACAAGACATACAAGGTCGTCGCTAGTGGGTTGGAGGCCATGGTACCAAGTTGGAGGCCAGTGCTACCAGGTTACAAGAAACACAAAAAAAACACAAGAACGCCAAAGTTGGGGGCCAATGCTAGTGGGTAGAGGCCAACGAATTCAGGTTGAAGGACCACATTACAAGTTTGGAGGCCTACCTGCAAACCTATAGAGTAGACTAGAGGAAAACAGAAGGAAAGGCACCGACGCACAACGTCGAGTACCATGTCCTCCTGTTTTCCCAAATAGTGGAACAGGTACACAGCGGGGCGTCCCCCACTGCATCAGCACCTGCTGGCATCCTCTTCGTTGGATGGGAAATGCCAGCGGTGTCCCGTCCCCCTGTTCCAAACCCTAAGGGTTTTTCTTTGACTCCAAAGGTTACACACACACACACTCACTCACACTCACTCACACTCACTCTCACTCACACTCGCACTCACACTCACACACTCTCATCTACACCCACTCCCACTCTCCCACTCTCACTCACTCACGCTCACACTCACGCTCACTCTCGTCTACACCCACTCTCACTCTCCCACTCTCACTCACTCGCACTCACACTCACTCACTCACTCACTCTCTCTCATTCTCACCCACGATCACTCTCACTCTCACCCACACTCACTCTCATTCTCACCCACACTCCCTCTCACCCGCACTCACTCCTCACTCTCACTCTCACCCACACTCACTCACGCCCACCTTTACTCACACTCACACTCACTCTCACTCCCCCTCTCCCTCTCTCACTTTCACTCTCATTGTCATCGCCGTTCTCAGTCTCAGTCTCAGTCTCAGTCTCATTCTCATTCTCATTCTCGCTCACTCCCTCGCCACCACCGCCACCGTCACCACGATCCCCACCTTCATCACCGCCATCACCTCTCTGGACCCCAATGCGTCTAGATCGCTAGACTTTCTGCTTACAGACTTCACACACACTGTTTGGCGTCTCTTGCCAGGATAATTTTTTTAAAACAAAAATGGTGTGCCCAGGGCGTGTTTGGCCGGATGCCAACACATGAGATAGGACTTGTGCTACCAGTCCATGTCCTAGCATGTCCTTGGATGTCTGTGCATGGCTAAATTATGGTTGTCTAGGCGTGTGGGCAGCACGACATGAGATAGGATGTGACTTTGGAAACATGTGCACTTTTCCTCAGAAATTGTGTTTCTTTGTGACAGATTGCGCACGACTGTGCACTTGTTTGAGGGGGGTTAGCCGTCTCAAAACCTGGTGTTTTTGGAGATGTGCATGCAGCCTGGGTTGGGACTTGTTGGCCATATGCGGTATGTTACTCCTGTCTCATCATGGAACATCTGGCCGTTCTGAAATGGCGGGAGTCCATATGGCCTCATGAGTTAGGCCTTGTGCTGCGCAACTCCTAACTCGCTAGATACTCGAAATCCTAACTCACCAGTAGGTAGTATAGTTGTTGAATATTGTTACTCAGTTTGCTAGTTACTGCAGCACTCCGTTTGTCGAGTTAGGCGTCGTTGAGTGTCAACATCAGCTCTGCGACTGGATTGGCGCCAAAAAGCGAGGCCAGAAAGCATCCTGACACGACTGCTGTGTTTTGTTGACGCTTTGCAAAGAAGAAGCGAATACAGCGTACGGATTGTTTGGGACAGCATTTCCTGTAATAGGGCTTATCAAGCTCCTGTACAAAGGCATGGACCTTCAATCCCTTCATCGAAGTTTCGGCTGAAGCCCCAACGATAGCAGCCGACAAAGCATGAATTTTCTCAAGCTGGCCCAAATGGCCGTACTTTTAATACCAGCGAACCGTCCAACAGCAAATCATGCATGGATCCACCATTTGTGTTTCAGCCTTTGGACATCAAGGTTTGCCATCGAAGCCACAGAGCCCTCCCCTCTCAGGTCTGTAGCCGCGATCCCCGTTTGGGAAGCCTCGGCCGCGCAGCGAAAGTTGCCACCGGCCAGCTGGGGTCTTGGGTTTCCAGACCCATCGGCATCGACCTGTCGTCGCTGACCAAGGACTGAGACCCTGAACAATTGCCACACAGATCCCCACTGGGCGCAGCCAGTTGTGCTGAAAGTTGTGCCCGAGTCAGAAGCTCAAACTGACAAGAAACTTTGCTGGCACCTCAATTGTTCTCAGATGCTCCTTGACTGAGGTGAAAGATCAAACATACTGAATCTCATGTGACCTTGTGGGTCACGTAGATGCAGACTTTCCAACAAGAGAATTCAGAATGCAGTAAAGTTGCCCTATTGGTTCTCAAAGATGCCGGGAATATATACCATGATCCGTTGCAGAAACTGGTGCTGTTTGAAATGTGGCACTTGCAAAGTCCATGTCCGCAAAAACGCCTGGACTTTGCAGGCCCGGCCTTTTCCTCCGCATCGTCGCTTGCTCAGACGCGGCGTTAGGTGTTACCAGGAGAGCCGATTTGCCATTGAGTCGCGCCCAAAAGCTTAAACATTGATGCCAGGGCACTGCCATACAACAACATAAAGTGTACTGCTCGGGCATCCTTTCTTGCCATAGACTGCCAGCAAAGACATCGTGCTGCCCTGACATTCCCTGACGTTCCGCTGTTGGAAATAATGAAGTCCTGGCAAAGGGCGAGTGACAATCTCCTGATAAATGAAGAGCCATTCAAATTCATGCGTTTGAGGAGCTGGGATGAGCTTGCTGATTTGGCATTGGAATTCCAGGAGGCCGTGGCAATTGGAGAAGGCTCTCAAAGGTGGTGATGCCAAGATGATCACCAATGACCAATTGATAATGGATGGTTCAAGATGATTTAGGTATCCTTGGATGAAGAGACACTTCAATGGGCAGCGTGGTAGACCGACAATAATTTGCCGACCATTGTGCAATTTTGTGCATGGTTCGGACGTGTTTATGTTTACAATAACAATTCCCAAATGGTACAATTGGGTATGGTCTATTCCTTTGTTTCCAACTTTTTGCTGAAACCCTCAGACATTCCCATGCATCCTGTGTTACTAAATGTTCTGCTGGGTTTTGATTGGCTTTACCGACTTGCTGCAAGGTCATGAAGCTGGCTCAAGGCTCCGTCGAGTTTCTGCCTCAAGTCGGAAAATGCAACTTTAAGGTTGTGGTCATGGTCATGATTGTTCTTATATAGTTATATGTTATATAGGGGTGTGTGTGTGTGTGTAATGAGACTTCCAAGTTCCAAGCTTGTTGGAAAGAGTCCAATAGGCGCGTTGCATGGGAAGATGTGCCACGCCAACGAAAGTCTTACAGTACTGCGCCGCTTCTTCATAGACCGATTCCGCGATTCCAAGGCGCCAGTTCAGCATGACAAGGTCCACTTTGCATCCAATCACAGTCTTGGATTCCTTTTTTTGCAGTGCATGACATATATTGTGCAGCGTGAATCAAGATAGTACGTTGAAAGATTCCCAGGGCTTCTGGAACCGAGCCTTCCTGCCAGGCTCATTGACATGAAGCGCCACGGAGAATCTTTGATCTTCTTGAGCTTTGCACAGGCAGAGCGCTTTGAAAGTCAACCTCCAATCAGGTATAGAAGAGAGCAGAGCTTGGAGGATGCTTGTCAAAGATCATTGGAGTCACTGTTGGAAGAGCCTTTGGCCCTGGTTCTTGTTTGAGTGAATACATTCAGTCTTACGTCCCCGGAGGTTGGAGGCAACGTCGGGGTTTTGAGCTCAAGAGCATCAGGGCAACGCCGAACGGCTGCCAACACAAAAAGAGGAAAGGAGAATACAAGTCTAGTGGCAGGCAATAGCTCGTGAAGTGGTGTGCACCATGTCGCACACAGCTCCAGAAACAAGACAACGGAAGGCGGAAAAGTCTCTCAAGCATGCAAAGAAACAAAAATAGGAAGGAGCAGAAAGCAATTTGATGTTTGCTGTTTTGTATCTCCGAGGTCGCAGCCTTTGAGACTGCGGCGGTGGGTGCAATGCAGACCCCCAGTGTGGAGCATTTGCACCAGGCTCCGGGAACACATTTTCCGAGAACGCGTGCTGGTAGCCCGAGCGGCTTCGTAGTGGGAGTTCCATGCTTGCAGGGCGGCACCAGGAACGACAGCCCAACCAGAGCCATGAAACACACGCTTCTCGGCTCGTGAATGACAACAAGCGGTTCCTTCGGGTGTCACTTCTTCCTTTAAGATCTTTAAGATTTGATCTATATCATTCCCTCAGGACTGTGCAACTTCCAATTTCACCCGGCTACAGCCTGCCACCACAGCCGGCTTTGCAAGGACTGCAGGGACCAACTGCCTTGGATATGATCCGGCTGTGAAATTGTTTTTCCTGACGCATCCATACAGACACAGTTTCATGGGTGTATGCAACAATCAGAGAGATACCCATTGATACCCAACAAGAGCATCAATTGTCGGCGTGTTTCAACAGGTTTGTGGTCGCCCATTGCTTAGTAAACCATAAGGCATCACGCTAGATGCGCGTCGGGCCACGTGCATCCCGTGAGGAGTCCAGCCTTTGGAACAGGTCCTCAAGGCTCATGGTCAGGTGGGGCAATGCAATGACCAAGCAGGGAAAGGAAGTAACAGATTGTGTTTGTTGGTAGTGGAACTTTGACCTCTCTGATGTACACATAGGAATCATCCCATTGTTTGGGCGTACACATTTGTTTGACATGTTTCTGGCCATAGCTCATGCCTCGCGACAATGGGAGTTATAAAGGAGGTGGCAAACCCAGTCCTGAAACCTTCAAATAGCCGGTGGCCCAGGAGGTTCCTGATGTCATTGCTCGACTTTATGGCCCACCACAGGAACCAAGGCCAGCGTTTGGGTCCATTGGGCGGGGATCAGAACCGCAGCAAAATGCTTGCAGGTCCATGTGTCACAACCCACCCAGCATTCAAAAAGTCCAAGGGGAAGCCGCATTTTGCGGATTTCTATATACAGGATTATACAAGGGGATTCTGAGGTGCCAGGCCAACTTGGTTTGCTCCCGGAAGCGCGCTGGTTTCAGTGCAGGTTCTTGCAAACACCTGCACCGCCACCCGCGCCACCAGCACGAGCCCTGCCGCCGGAGGAATTTGCTGCTTGTTCTCGACATGTTCCCACAGGTCACGAAAGGTAGCCCTTCAGGGGATACCTTGAGTTTGTCTTGCGAAGCAAGTGTGGGCTCCTCCGGATCTAATAGATGATAGTTCAATTCAACCCCCCCCTTGGGATTGATTTTTCACCCCAGCCCCCCCCCCTTTGATTTTTTTTTTCAATTCGGCCCCCCCCCCCCGCCTCTGACCGCTTCATCCCGAAGAGGATCACCTCGACACCTCGATGGTTATTTGGTGTTGAGCACTCTAAGCTTGGGGCAGTGTTTGAATCCATGAAGAGACATGACATGCTGTTTTTAGTGCTTCTTGTCGTTGAGGATTATCATATCACGAAAGCTAGCGAAGCTAGCTGGAGTTACTCTTGCGATAGCAAGGTTTCTTTCGATCGGGTGCAAATCCTAACCCCTGATTTTTCAGGTCGAAGCCCCCCCTCACTCTCAGTCTCACTCTCACTCTCACTCTCACTCTCACTTCATCTCTCTCTCATCTCTCTCATCTCTCCCTCATCTCTTTCTCATCTCTCTCTCTCATCTCTCTCTCCTCTCTCTCTCTCTCTCTCCTCTCTTCTGTCTCTCGTCTTTCCGCCCGCAGACTTCCGACAGTCCGCTCTGCAGGTGGATCTTTGCGATGCCACCGCGACGTCTCCTTGACTGCCTCCAAAAAGAGCGCCATGTTTTTTCCTACCTCGCTGCCCTCCACTTTCCCATTCTGGAGCGCTAGCTTTCGCCCCCCCCCCTTGGCCTCAAGTAACATCATATAACTATATAACTAAATAACTATATATATATATGTATATCGTATACCATTTCTCAAGTTGACGCTTGGCTCGACTCCACCAACAACACACTGCATATTTTACATGCTTATTTTCCTCCCGCTGTCCTACCTTTCGTGTATCCCTCCTCTCAAGCGCTTCACAATTGATAGGTGGCTCTTCCTTCAAGATGGTTCAGGTGTATATATATATATATGTGTTTTCATTGGACCCGCTGTGCGGGTATCGACTTTCCACCCGCAGACGAAGACGAATTCCCTCCCGAAGACGAAGTACGCCCCCGAAGACGAATTCCAAAGACGAATTCAATTAAATTCCCATCCAAAAAATGTTTATGAAATCAAATGAAACGACCACTACGACGACGACGACGACTACTTACTACCTGCTAACTACTAACTACTAACTACTAACAACAACTACTACTACTACTACTACAACTACTACTACTAACTACTAACTACTTACTACCTACTACCTACTACCTACTACCTACTACCTACTACTACTACTACTACTACTAACTTCGACTAACTAGTACTAAATATTACTATAAACCCACTACGAACTGCCACAAACTACTAGGGAACGACGCCGCCAGTCGCCTGGTCGTTTCGGCGTCGGAGTTGTCACGCCCCCAGCCAGGCTGCGGTGTTCACATGCGCACCCTGTTTTTGCAACTGTACAAAACTACTTCGCTTTGCACACTTTGGAGGGCGCTTTCACATTTTCCGCCGGTGTTCCATGCAACTTCTCACGTCGAAACACCCGTCACGTGGCCTTTACACCTTTCCTTTTTGTTGTTGACGGTTTGTGGGTCTCAAGCCCTCCAATCTGCGCCCAGCGTTTGAGCGCCCGCTTTGCGTGACAGCCCACGTGGAACGCTTTGGTCTGTGATGCGAACATTGTATTCTTTGCTTGTTCTGATGCACGCAATGGAAGTACTTGATTTTCAATTGCTGGTCTCGCAGCACTGGCACGATTCAAAATTCGTGAGCTGGAAAAAAGAAATGGTGTAAATCATTCCACATGTCTAAGAAAACACAACCCCCGGGTAAACACGAAACAAAAGGGTCGAAGAACCAGTGGTGACTCGTCTATGTCCACAAAACCCCCAACTGCAACAAAAGAACCAAGGCAACGCACCAAAAAAATGAAAAAACGGTCGCGGCGTGTCTTTTCCGGAGCCAAATACAGCACGCATGGTGCGTCAGCATGTACTGCGCATGTTTGTGCGTGCGTCTGTGCGCGTGGAATGCAAACGTACATACGTGGAACGCAAACGTCTGCGTATCCCGCGCGGAAAAAATGCACGAAGAACGCTACGCAGCGGGTGCGCTATTAGCCCAGCCCAACCCACCCCCACCCCACACGTACACACATGGAATGTAATCTGTGCGAACCGTGGGGAAAGAAAAACGCACGAAGAACGCCGCACAACAGGTGTGCGTCTGTAAAATTCGCAAAACATCGATGGTAGGGCGCCACTTCAAAAACAACAAAAACACCAGGCACTACTAACTACTACTACTACTACTAACAACAACAACTACTACTACTACTACGACTACGACTACTACTTCTACTACTACTACTACTACCACACTACTACTACTACTACTACTACTACTACCACTACCACTACTACTACTACTACCACTACTACTACTACTAACTTACTAACTACTACTAACTACTACTAACTACTACTACCTACTACTACTACTACCACCACTACTACTACTACGACTACTACTACTACAATTACTAACCACTAACCACTAACCACGACCACTACTACTACTACTACTACTACAAATACTAACCACTACCCACTACCACTACCACTACCACTACTACTACTACTACTACCACTACTACTACTACTACGACGACGAGGAGGACTACGACTACGACTACGACTACTACCACCACTACCACTACGACGACGACTACTACGACTACGACTACGACTACTGCTACCACCTACTACTACCACTACCACTACCACTACGACTACTGCTACTACGACTACCACGACCACTACGACTACCACTACCACTACCACTACTACTACTACTACGACGACGACGACGACGACGACGAGGACTATACTACTACTACATACTACCTATTACTCGCTCTACTAACTCCTACTAACTCCTACTACCCCTGCTAACTCCTACTAACTACCACTAAATATTCACTACTAACTACTAACCACTAACTACTAATAACTACTACTACTGCTACTACTACTACTGCTTCTACTACTACCCACCAACCACTAACCACTAACCACTAACTACTAACTACTACTACCACTACTCATATTGAGGATTTTCTTGCGTGCCCGTGCCGTGCCGTTCCGTGTGCATGGGTGTGGTTGCGTTCCGTGCTGCGCGCGGTGCCCGTGCGAAGGGAAATGATATATCAGGCACACATCACATCAACTCAATTTTTGTGTGCGCAGGTGAGCTACATCTGTGCGTGCAGATGAGTTTGTGGTACCTGGTACGGTTTTGTATTGGTTTAAAGCGATGTGTGCAGGTGAGCTCATCCTGTATGCGCAGGTGAGTTACTGAATGAAAGAAGTATAGAGTGTGTACAGTTGAGCGAGTGTTGCGTGCGCAAGTGAGGCGCCATCCATCCCGTGACTACTCTAGTAATTAATAATACTGAGCGCAAATGACTTAGGAGTAGTGGGTACTAGTGAGTCAGGAGTGACCCCCGGCAATTCCCATGTCACCGCACAAACCACAGCAAAGCAGAGGGATACTACCCAGAGTGCAACACTGATGACATAGGAGTTGGAGAGGTGCCAAGCTTCCGCGCTGGCGCACATTACATCGCTTCAGTGGTTTTCTCGCTGCGTACACCAGACACACAAACAAACACTACGCTGGAAGAAAAGAAGCTTGCCGAGGCCGGGGTTTCGAACCCGGTGAGACGTGGGGCAAGAAATTAGGCAAGGTTTCCCAAAGGATTGTAGCCTTATGAGGGCCCAAGCCTTTTGGAGCCATTCGACAAGGTCCAGCCCTTTTGAGGGTCCCAGCCTTTTGGAGCCATTCCACAGGGTCCAGCCTTTTGGTATCATTTTGAAGGGTCCAGCCTTTCAGGCCTTCTGAGTGTCCAGGGTGGGGCCGCATTGAAGGGTCCAACCTTTGAGGGTGAACCCTTTTGGTGCCAAACCAAACGGGTCACCCTTCTGAGGGAGCCATTGGGTCCCGCCTTCTGAGGGTCCGAGTCCAAGCCTTTTGGAGGCATTCCACAGGTCCAGCCTTCTGAGGGTCCAACCTTTTGGTGCGACTTTGAAGGTCCAGCCCTTCATCCAATAGTTCACCCTTCTGAGCGTCACTTCTGCAGGCCTTGCCTGCTGGGGCAGCTGTGTGCGTGGTGGAGGGGGCGTGATTACAGGGCTGGCCAGGTTGCCATAAACACCCCTTTGGCGGAAACATGGTGGAAGTTCTATCGTAGCCTCAAAAAAGCAGGGAGTGCACATCTACAGGTCCAAAACTTTCAGGGTGAGGTTCGCCCTGCGTGAGTTCAACCTTGCACCTGCACGCGTGGAGCCGGTTCAACAGCGATTCAGCAGGGGGTTGAATCCTGCGGAGCAGCCGCCAAAAGAGCAAAATGATATTGTAATATCTTCACCAACGCACATGAGTATCAAAGCAGTGCCAACTATGTTAATGATAGCGTTGATGATTTGTTCCATGACACAGAGCCCCAAAGATCTCTGTAGACAGTCCGATTGCGATCGCCATGAGCCAACGCCGGCTCAGAAAACGACCCAAGCCAGCAAGCGTTCCATCATCGGTGGCCACTGCAAAGGTGCTGCAGGTTCTTGAGACGTATGGTGAGTACATTGGAGGTGAGCGCAGGAGCTATGAGACAAGGTTCGGATCCATCGTGGACTTAAGCAGATCAAAAGCTGAAGCTCCCACTGCCTACTTTTGTTCACTATGCCGCAAGAGCTTTATTTGCCGGGTTCCCTCAACAGACCGATTCGTCCTCGGTCACTTCGTCGGGCGGAAGGGCTATGGGGTTCAGCCCTGCTCTGGCGACACAGTGCCAACCTTTCAAGTCTAGTCTTTACCCAGGCCCCGGTGGGAGTCCAGCCTTTTTACTGTACCCCTATGGTCAACGCTTTGTCAAACCCGAACAGAGTCCAGCCTCTCGTACACAGTTTGTGCAATC